AAATAAACAAATTTTACTATATTTATAGTTTTTAGGACATATAAGTGACGTTAGAATACAAAATATCCCAAATATTAATTGCCAGTGTGAATTTATTAATATAGTTAATACTAGTAAGTAAGTAAGTAAATTCTTTATTTAGCTTTCAGCTAGTTATAAACAAATATTTACAATTTAAACTTAAAACTATAGGTTACCTAAACCTAGATAATTACTAATCATATTTTTAAAACTACCTAGAGTTGGAGCATCTTTTATATTTTTAGGCAACGCATTAAAAAGACGAATCCCTTCCTGCAATAATGAGCCCATCAAAAAAGATTTTTTTGTGAAATCAATATTAAAATTGTCCATTGATCTGAGTGGACGTAAATGAAGTTCAGATCTTTTTACAAGTAGTGTACTAAGGTATTTCGGAGTTTTGTGATGTATCATCTTATATATTAGTATTAAATTCGACATTTTAATGCTTTGCTCAACTGTATAGACATTCAGCTGTTCATGCATTTCCCTGACCGAAGTGTAAATATTACAATTTAATATCCTTAAACATTTATTTTGTAACAGTTGCAATCTGTTGATGTTTTCTTTAGTAGCTGATAATAGTAATTCATTACAATAATTAAAATGTGGGCGTATTATTGTATTATAAATCAGAGATTTTGACCATTGCGACAAGTTACATGAAATCCTTCTAAAAAAACCAATTTTTTTACCTAATTTTTTACATAAGTAATTGGCATGATTATTAAAAGTTAATTGTTGGTCAATAATGACTCCTAAATATTTTATTTCCAGTACTTGTTCAATTGGTTCACCACCTATTTCTACTACTTGATCATGCGCATTAAGTTGTCTGCATTGTGCTTTTGATCCTAGGATCATATATTTTGTTTTTGCAGTATTTAATTTAAGCTTATTTACACACAGCCAGTCATACAAAATAGACAATTCTTCATTTAATATTTGAATTATTTCCTGAAAATCTCTACCAGATACTGAAATGAGCGTGTCGTCCGCGAAAAGTCTAATAAATGATCTTTTTAATCGTTTATGAATGTCATTTACATAAATAATAAATAAAAGTGGACCCAACACACTTCCTTGCGGTATCCCGTAGTGGCTTTCTGTTTCACTAGATATATTATTTCCTATTTTAGTCTTATGATACCTATTAGACAAATACTCCCTAATTAAATTTAATGCTACCGAATTTACACCGTAATTTTGCAACTTTTTTAATAAAAAATTTCTATTTATTGTTTCAAAAGCCCTTTTAAGGTCAATAAAAACAATAACATTATTTTCATTCATATCACTTCTCCATTTCGCACAAACAAATTGGAGAGCTGTTTCACAAGAATGTTGGTCTCTAAACCCTGACTGTCCCTCATACAAAATATTATTGTCTTCAAAATAAGACTTGAGCTGATCTCTTACTACAATTTCAATGATCTTATCTGCAGATGGTAATGGTGGATTGAAACTAAACTACAGTGTTACCAGAATTACATACACACTTTCTATGAAAAAAATCCTGTAAGGCCAGATATTGACCTGGAAGAACTAGAAAAGTTAGCTAAAGGAGGACGAAAACTACAAAATGGTGGTAAGTAATTACCAAAAATATATTTAAACTTTCAGTAAACATCATAATCATTTATGTAACTCTTGTTTTTGTTAGTGGAATGCCATGTACAATTTTTAATGTTTTATGTTCGACAAAAATCTTTAAAATATTCCATTAGCTATGTACACTTAATTTGTATATGTACCAAGTTTGTTAATTTTTTTTATTTTTTAGGTTCAATGAAGATACAATAGAAACTCAAGTTATTGATACAATAAAATATTGATTGGTTAAGGCCAAAGATAGTATTTGTAATAAAAATAAGTATGAATTCTTTGAAATAAAGAATCATATTATATACACTTATTCTTTAATGTTCTATATAAATAAACATCCTATATTAAGGTGTCTAGTATATGCCTAGCATATGCTATATTTAAATACTTAGCATATACTTAGAACGTACTATCAAATTAAAGTAGATACTTGTTGCATAATGTACACATACTTGAAGAAAATTCTCAGTATCTACATAGCACGTATAAACAACGTCACGTAGCATATGCTTAGCATATTCTGAGAATGTACCAAATGAAAATACAGTATATTCTCAGCAATATGCATATTCTTAAAAAGTATATACTAAGAATGTATAATTGTTATCTGGGCTATTACTAATTACTATACTTAATTCCTTCTTTCTAATCGTTAGACTCTAACTAGAATTATTTATAATATTCATACTCGTTACTCGATTTTTCAAGAGTAATCTCTAAAATATACAAAAGTACTCATTTGATTCGATTATTATTTATATAAGTACTCATACTCAGATACTTTGTGGAGGTACTCATTGTGAAGTACTTATAAGTATTTTATTGCAGTATTCTGCCCAGCTCTGAGTGACGGTTACTAAAAGCTTTCCAATAGATTTTGCTAATGTACAAGTAAAAACGTATTTGTTGCGAGCAGAAAACGCGAATAATATCAACTTAGCCAGCTGGCAGCGTAGAAATATCTCTCGCTAAATGCATATTTACTTCAAAAAGAGCACACGGTCACTTTGATATTATTCGTTTTCTGCTTGCACCAATGCTTTCTGTAGTTTTTAACTTCAAAATTAGCAAAGCGTATTGAAAAGTATTCAATAGCCGACACTATAGAAAATACCTTTTTTGTATCGTCTATAATAACGCCACCACTCTAAAAACGAATTATGTATAATTAAATAAAAAAAAACAATAGGAAGAGAATTTACTTTTTTTCTACTAACATGAGAAATCACCATTATTTACTCCATCCCTCTAATGAAAAGTAATATTTACCACCCTAGGTAAATAATGATATAAAAAACACCACCTAGGTAAATAATGAAATTAATTTTCATTAGTTTCATTTTGGTAATTTGACAATTTAACTCCCAGACTGCTTGATATTTCGAAATATTTGAGAAATAAATAGGAAATAACTAAAGATGGGTTTATCAAAATCTAATCAAATCAAATATGGTAATATATCAGTGTCAGTAGTAAAAAAAAATCTATATATACTTTGAGAAGGCCATTATAAACCTGGCATTGCTCGGTAAGCTATAGCTAACTTCTTAACCTAAGTATATAATGTACTATTATTAATCTTTAAATAATATTAATTTATTATACACAGATCTCTTGGTTTTTTGTCATATTTTTATTGTTATAATGAATTAATTCTAACTGTGATGTTGATGGACGCTACTAACTTTATTAACTTACCATAGTGGCAGCTTAACGTGCAATGGTTTAAAGTGATTTTTATTTACTTACATATACAATATCGGCTATCATACTTTTTCCAATACGCTTTGCACAAGTGCATGTAAAAACTACATAGAGTTAGCATTAGACCAAGCAGAAAATGAATAATATTAGCTTGGTCAACATAACAAAACATAATTAAATGGAGTTGAAACGTTAGGTAATACAAATTTTATCGCAATCAACCAAAATAAAAAATTCATGCTACGCATTAAATTTCTAATAAAATTAGTTCTCACTTTGCAACAAGTAACAGTATTTAAACCGCTGGATGGCGCTAAACTCAAAATAAATGCGATGAATAGTCATATAGTAAAATTCAACTTAAAACTACCTTTGCAATGATGTGATATATTTAGCACTTTACCTATTTAAATTGCATTGGTTAGAGTAACGAAGTGGAGGGGAATGACGTATGACAGTTGGTGATATATTATGATAAAAAGATGTCCCTCTTCAAACTAAAACCGACCAACCCGTGTGTTTCTTAACATGTACGATATTAATACCCAAAACCCCTACATCAAGTTTTTGTTAGAGAGTATCAATATTAAAGAATATTTACTTATACATAATAATTTTAAAACACAATATGAATTAAATAGATCGATTCCATATTATTATAAAAAAATACTGAATAAATAGTTTTGAAAACTGTTATAACCAGTTGTGAAGTATGAAACGAATAGGTTGGTAATAAAATTTATATTTTTGATTTAATTATATGTTACTCTTTCCACTTCTTAAAAAAATATTTCCAATAAAATAAGAAATAGTAAACAGTTTACAATAAAAAAAATTTATCTAAGTTTTCACATTATTTACAACTTGTAACGTGTACCAATGACCAAGTACGGTTCTGTTTATTTTTAAATTTACAAAATAAAAAACTTACCTAAATAATTTTAGGTTTACTTTATCAACATAAAAATTCACACTTTTATTATAAATACAGCTTTTTAAAATACACCCCGCCATTTTCAACGTTAATTTCCACAATTTAAGTAGCAAATATTAAATTAAATCTCGTTGAGACGATGAACAATACTCTGACATGTAACGTACTATGACGTATTCAAATCTGATTGGTCGGTGTGAATAGTTTCGAAGTGGGTTCATGCGCAATGTCTTATGTTCTATCTAAGGTTTCTATAATGTAAGGTTGTGCCATAACAGTTCGAAAGGAGGGTTGATCTATATTTCATAAAATTAAATATATCTCAGCAATGTGTAACATTATTATTAATAATAGTTTTCGTTTTGTTTATATTGTAACTACGAATAAGAACTTTACAATATTATTTCGAAAATTGAAGTGAAAAATAAAATAAATAAAAATTTCGACAGCTGCAAAAACTGTCACATAAAAGAGCAGGTAGAGTGAATTTAAAGATGGCGCCACGTATATTTTTAAAACTGCAAGAAACCCTTAACGTTTTTCGTTTGAAATTGTTTAAAAATTTGTGCATAACTGCATTTTAAAAAACAATTTATGTATAGTAAAGAAATCAAATATATGATATAGAACAATATATCAAAATGTATGTAACACAGATTTTGTCATTATATATTTAGTTTAATTTTTAAAATAGTCTGAGTAGTTTCTAGTGTAGAAAAAATAAAAAAGTACTTACCACCAGGAATTTGAGAACGGGGTTAGAATGAGCAAAAGGTAAACGGCAGGCACGAAGAGCACCGTGTGCATATCGCGCGATAACACACTCACTTAGGTGAGCCCCATCACTGCCATAACGGTGGTGGTCGACTCTCGAGACAACGCTACAACACGCATCGGGACTTACCTGTGAAACAGCCAGAAGCGTGCCCGTGGAATAAAACCAAGCATGCGCCAGGTCCTTTGAAAGAGGAGCCGCAAGTCCTGCAGGGGTTGCGGCTAACTCTACGACGATGGTGCTCACAACTTTTCGTATGGTCAGTCATTTGAAATAGTTCTAAATGTATAAGCTGTTCACATCCTTTTAAATCGGACTTGGTTAATATAAATTGTTATTCAATATAAATTACCTACTACCCTCTATCATCGTTGTTATTGCATATACAGGGTGTTTTAGAATAAAGTACTTTAAATTGAGGACTTGTAAATAGATAATATATGGTACAGATAGGCTACCCCTGTATAAATCTATAAAATGTTGATGTTGCTCTAATAAAATCATTGTTTCTTTTTCTATTGCAGGCTTTCTCGCTCATATTAGAATCTTCAGCAGTAGCGTACGTAAACGGATTGCATTGGGTTATTTTAAATGTGAAAATAGTGACTGCAATAAAAAAGTACAAAATAATGTTTTAAAAGATAGGTACGTTTTTATTGAACTGAAAACAAAATATGACATTATTGTCATGTCAAAAAATATATTAAATATTTTATTGCTTCTAAAACATTTAGAATTACAGCAAGGATTTGGAATTCTATAAAATATCTATCCCTGTTGAAAAGCTATACAGTGGTAGAACTAAAGAAATACATAAAGCATTTAATTTAAACATGACAAAATATTCCTAATAATAATAAAACAAACCAATATATATTTACCTATTTAGCATAAGTAGAAGTATTTCAGGATATTAAAAAAATATATAGGAATTTAATTTACTTTTCTAATGACTTAAAATATAAATTATCTAGTTACTTTATTTAAATTCGGTAACTAAATATTCTTATATTACTGATGATAATTTATATTTTAGACCATGTACAAATATATACAGTATGTCTCCAAAAACTATTAATTTTTTTGATATTGCATATACTTTTTCACTCATCTTAATTGTGTCTGTAATGTTTTATTTCTGTTTCGTTAGTTTGAAGCAGTACTGTTGAAAACAAAAAAGTCTTCGTAATGACCGATTTTCTAGAAACTTCAATGTAAAGTTACCAAAATATCTAGGTTTTTTGAAATAGGTATTCATATACAATTTAATGTATCAGCTTAGATCAAATCCAATGTTTAATTTACTTCTTAATTAATGGTGACTCAAATTTTGTTGATGAGAATTTCAGAGTCATACCTTGAACTTAATATTGAAGTGTATGAGGTACTTTTGTTCAAACTATAACTTCTCTTATTTGTTGGCAAGTTTAATACTCTTAAAGATGGCCCATAATCAAATAATTTAGTATCTGAAGAAATTACTATACTAAAAACATTCAAACATATTATTGTTTCGCTAAATTTATTAAACACAATACCTTCTATTTTTTTTTTTTTTAGTTGACATAGGTTCACCACTATTTTTTTTTTCCTACTTTGCTTGTGTAATACAAAGTTCCTAAAAAGTAATGATACAATTTTTAAAAGTGCTTGATATTATTAAACATAAAATGTATTATGTATATTATGAAATTCCATATCAGCAAATTTTTATTAAGGGCCGATTTCATAAATTATATTGAAATGTCCTTTAACTAATAAGACCATTAAGTCCATGAAATCTTAGTCCTATTAGTTAATGGACCTTTTAATATTAATTATGAAATCGGCCATTGATAAAATTGTACATAAATTTCATGTTTAATTAGGACTAAAACTAAAAAATCTCGGAAATAAAATGTCAATGCATAAGGAATAATTATCATTCTTAACTTTTATAAAATATAGGGTGTTCAAAAAATTTGGATTAAAATTGTCTTTTTATTATTATTATTTTTTTTTCCTTTTCAGGTTGTTGATAAATTGGGATTTCTACGGAATCAGTCAATTTATCAGGCTTTACATTTTTTAAGTGTGAGTTGGACGACTTTCACGCCAGCAGGTAAGTTCAGAGTTTTTCTTACAATACGATACGTTTCTACTATAACTGACTTTTGCTTTTGTGAAGATATTTTTGTCATTAATGTTTATTTGTTTCTTCGAATCCAGACCAGTAGATTAAATTACTATAGAAATTATGGTAATACTTTTTAGTTTGTGTATACTTTTATATTCTTCAGTTTGAAGTATTTATTATTTTTTCTCTTTCTGCTTTTTCCAAATTGTGATCCTTTAGATGCGTGATGTCAATAAAGATGAGTGAAGATGCAGGATACTGGTTTGTCGCTCTGTATTGGCGTATCCCAGTACAGAAGTTATGTATCACTTTCTAGGACCGGGAACGGAAAATACTAAAATATTGTTCAGCTTTCTCTCGAATATTGCACATAATTGCCAGATGATGATGAACTACGTTGGCCGTTAAGGTGATTACAGCACCCCTTATAATTTTCGGACAAGCATATCTAAAAAAGCAATTTTTTTTAAGAACTAAAATTTTGGGAAAATAAATTAGGCAATAATATCTAGAATATGCATATATATTTTAAAGTTTTAATTTATAGGAAAAACAAATTAGAGGGCTTTAAATTTTGGAATATAATGAAAATAAATGCATTCCTCAACAGCACTTTTCCCAATATAAACCCAAATGTATGCACTTAATCTCTTGTTAATGATTTTTTAAAATTCGACGAAATTAAGACGCTTCGTTAAGTGCTGCTTTCTGGTGTAACGCGTCTGTAACTACCGTATCGTACACTTTCAGTCATCATTTGTTTCTTACTCCCGTTTACACTTGGGTATTATATTAAGAATAATGCTGTTGAAAAATGCATTTTTTTCATTATGATATTTCAAAATTTAAAGCCCTTCGATTATTTTTCTTCGAAACTGGAAGGAATTAAAACTTTAAAATATATATATATATTCTAGATATTATTGCCTTATGTATTTTCCTAAAATTAATTTTTTTAAAAAATTTCTTTTTAAGATATGCTTGTCCGAAAATTATAAAGGGTGCTGTAATCACCTTAAGTTATTGCGCTTAAGGTATTCAGTAGGCGCTGACACCGTGCATCCCGATACGATGTGCTCAATCGTTTCTGAATGTCGATGACATATTCTTCACAAATCGTTATCGAGTCAAAATCCGTTGATATTTTGAATATAATTTCTTGTCGCGATAAAGTTGTCTTTATTTTTTTTTTTTTGGCATCGACTCTAAGCCATTTGCCACATAGGGTAGACTGGGTAGGATCCGACACTGGGGTGCATTAGACAGTGTCAATTTTGCCACAAAATGAAACTTTAAAATTTCGGTAAAATTCGTGAATACTCGAGGTAATCCATAGAATAACCCCACAAAATATTTTAGTTGTTCTGTAAATGTAGTAGACGTTAGACGCGTTTGCTGTTTTTCGCCACGTGTTTTATAAATTACAGTGTTTAAAATTCCAAATATTTGGGTGCCATCCTTTATTATAAACAATAAATATATTAACTGTAATAAATAAATTGATGTTTGAGCTGGTAAGTAACATTATTCCACCCCATATGGCAAAAGTGTGTTTAAATTACTGTTTTCAAATGTTAGCACAATAATACCTACTAGTTTCAAAGTTTTTCATTTGAAATTTTTATCTTTATTACAGAAAAATGCCACGAAAATACATAAAAAAGACAAACCGAACTGAAATTTCAGAAGAGGCAATGAAATCAGCAGTTCAAGATGTCACCGATGATGAATCGAATTATTACAGTTCAAAATACACGTCAAACTAAATTTTCACGCAAAACCAAGAAACTGAGCTTGCTGAATAGGTACTTTAAGAAATGTTCGCTATTAAAGTATGGATTGACATTTGTCAGCTAGAAAATTTGCATTTCAATATGCGGAAATTAATAATATTAAATGTCCCACTCGATGGAAATCAGATCAAATTGCAGGTGTTGAATGGATGTATGGCTTTATGAAGAGGAATAGTAATTTAAGCCTTCGCAAACCAGAAAATACAGGCATTGCTCATGCTTCCGGATTTAATAAAATAGTAGTAGCAGAATTTTTGAAAATTTGACCAATCTATTAAAGAAACATAATTTCGAAGCAAAATATATTTACAATCTTGACGAGACTGGACTAACAACTGCCTTGCAAGTACATAAGTGAAAAAGGGAAGAGAACTGTTTCTCAAGTTGTGTCAGCCGAGCGAGGGTCTCTTTTTACTGTCATTGCAATAATCAATGCATCAAGAAATTATATTCCACCTGTATATCAGTGGCGGCTCGTGGGGGTGTTCACAGTGACAGAATATAGGTATCAGTACAGATGTATGAAAAAACATTCAGTGTTTTAGAAAGTTTATAATATACCTTTCTAAAACACTGACAGTTTTTTACCTATATCTGTACCGGGATCTATATTCTGCTACTGTGAACCCACAAAATTTTGTTCACGAGCCGCCCCTGCTGTATATATACATCCAAGAAAACTAAATATCGAGAAATATTTAGTAGGCGGGTTAAACGGATGTATTGCTACGGCATAAGAAACAATCGGCAGGCTCACTTGCCGCTGATCGCATACAAATATTATACTAAGTTAATTTGACCTTGGCGACGCTATTCGGGGGTCTTAGTCAGGGTCGGATTAAAGCGTATTTAAAGATTTTGTAATAAAATAAGGTATTGATAGGCAGGATCGTATTAAAACAAAAAAGCTCTACAGATTGCAACAAATAATTAGCTTATAATTAATATTTTTAAAGTGTAATATATGAGCAGCCTTAAATATAACTTAGGACCGATTCCACCGTTGTGTTAAACGAAGTTTAAAATGATATTTTTACATTAACAATGTCATTTTAATATCCGTTTAACACAACGGTGGAATCGACCCTTAATATTTATGAAAATCGGGGACAAGGAGCGTCAAATGTTATCTCGGAATTAATTATATCTAAAAAAAAATTACAAACGCCGGATTTAGTGATAAATAATTCAAAATTGTGTTTG